TATGCACTTTTGTAGAACGGACATGTTATAAAAAAAATTAAAAAAAAAGACTCCGGGCAAGATTTTAAGCACCATTTTGTCCTAAACATAGCCAGGGACAGGATGTCCATGAGGGGAGCGCCTGATTGCTTTTCGTCAGAGAAACTGAAGCGATGATGAGGACTGCCAAGAAAGTGACTGGGGAAGGAAAGGGCTCCTGATGACAGCGGGGAGGACGCTCCAAAGACCACGTTTGAGCAGAAATACCAGAGGCTCCCCCCTGCTGCTAAACACGCTTTTCCGGTCCCCTCTCGGGTCCCTCCTGCTGGTAGAGCTGGAGACTGGAGCTGTTTCTGCCAGCTCTCCAACCACCCACCAGCTTCTGGGCTTCCCTTTACTTCCTGACTGCCTTCAGCATCCAACATCGCCCATGCTCTCCATCCACCGCCGAGAGGCCCGAGGGCCTTCCGCCATGCTGTTCCCTAAAGAGATGACGTAAACAGCAAGACATCAGTAACAGACGAAGGCACCCTCAGACAATGTACTAGGTGTGCGACAGGGACTTCAAGAAGGGTAATTACATGGCTGAATAGTTCAGATTTATTAGTGACACAGCCCTGGAGACAGGCACTGCCTGGATGGTACAAATCTTTCTGTGGATAGAGGTGGAGTGGGGACATCACCTCACTGTCTGAGCGTCTTTCACGGCGTTGACGGCACCTGCTTGGTGGCATTTGTGTGTGTGTGTGTGTGTGTGTGTGTGTGTGGTGTGTGTGTGTGTTATGGTTCAGTGGGTAAAGGCACTTGTCACCAAGCCTGATGACCTGAGTTCAATCCTGGGACCCAGACGGTAGAAGGAGAGAACTGATTCCTGAGAGTTGTCCCCTGAGCCCCCACATGTGCCCTGTGGTGTATGGACCCACTAACAATGAAAATGACATGTTAAGAATGGAACACACCTCTGCCCCCGTTAGTCATTTCCATGAGTGGTGTCAGCCTCCTTTACTGCTGAACGAAGGCCTTGGCTCTTGGAACAACATTGGCCACACTCAGTGTCCGGTCAATATTCAAGCTCAACAGTAAGGGCTCAAAAAATATAGACTTAAAATGGATTCAATAAATACTTGAATAAATGAGCAAATAACCATTCACAACGTGATTAGTTTTAAAGATCTGCCCAGCTTCCTTGTAAAGTGATTGCTTGTTTTAATTGCCAGCACACTGTGTGCTCTTTAGTGGCAGAGACACTTTTGAACAATTTAATCTCAAATCAATTACGAGTTCCAGAGACGAACCCACCTTTCGGTTTATAATTTCTGCTTGCTTAGGAGGGCAGCAGGTTGACACTGGGGGGGTTTATATTCCTACTTCAGATTTCTGAGTCTGTGGGCTCCACATGAATGGAATTTGGGGAGCTACTGGGACAAACCAAAAGAAATTATTCAAATTACTCACATTTTGAGGTAATGATATTTGAGTAATACATTTATTAGCATTTTAATAAGGCCTGGAAATGAGACAGCCAGAAGCAGACTTGACATTAAAGAGGCCCATGACTCCACAGTCGGTTTTGCTGCGTTGTCTCTGCCTGCGTTTTCTTTTTAATTATTTTGCAGTTTCTTATAGCCTTTTCAAGAGGGCTAAATTTGCCATTGCTGTAAGCGCTTAAGCAGTCTCTTCCTCCTGACGTGGCATGGCAATTATTTCTGAGAGAAATTATTAAGAGTGCGGCCTTTAATCAGGAAAGAACATGCTGCAGAGAGCCTTGGCGAGAGTTCTCCTCATACGGTTCCTGTAATTGAGTGTGGGCAGTTGGGTCCCGAAGATGCATGGAAATGGTAGAATCTGTAATTCTGGAGATGGGGAAGTGATTCATAGGGTGTGGGGCTGAAGCCTAAACAGGATGGCATTTTGCACTTTAAGATCTCAGCAGAGCCCAACTTGCTGTTTTGAAAGGGGCCATCCATTTCAAAGCAACTTAGTGTCCTGCTTCAATAATCCAAATTAGTTTAACACACTTCGGTGACATCTTTTGGGCATTTTTCACAATTATTAGAGATAATTCAGTTTTCTCTGTAGACTTTAGGGTTGAAAGCAAATTAAATCAATAGATTTTCTTCCCTTGCTCTATTGGATGAGTCAGAAGTTACCAGTCAAATGTGCACATGACCTTTTCTGATTACGCTTAAAAACCCAAACAACCTGTTGGGAAGAAGTTTGGCCAATCTGATTATTTTCTGTACACTAATTGGCTTTGTTTCCTCATTAAATGGAATGAATTGCCTTGTCACTTTGTCACTGTTGGGGTGGGGCTTGATCTGTTTAGAGCCAGTGGCTGTCCTTGGCATACCATGGAGCCGTAGACATGTTGGCCATTGTGACGGTTTCCTGATGAGGATGGAGCGGGTCCTGAATCAACCCATGTTGATTTTCATTGCCCTGGCTGAGACATGGAATCTGAAGCCCACCCAGGAGACCCTAGAATTCTGGGAACTGGGTTCCTACCTCTGAAGCTTTCTTCCCTCCAGGCCAATCTTCGGGCAGCATCATCGTGTATCTTTGGAAAAAAAAAAAACAAATGTCGACCCACACTGAAAATATTGGCTTTTCCCCCAAAAGATATTTGTACTCTGAGATGAAAATCCCCGTTGACACTGCTACCTTTATTTCAACTTCCACACGGGTGTCACTGGCCCAGCTACAGTCTCTTTGTCCCTGGATCCTTTCCTAGCTTCTGCTCTTCCTTCTTCTAGAACAGTCTTTGCATGTGGACAGCTCAATCACTCTAAATGTCACTGGCCACCTCTCTCTAGTGTGTCCCCACCATTGTGGCCAGGTTCTCCACTGCCTCCTGTGTCTTGTTCTGTCTTCGTCAGCCCCTAACTGTCCCTCTCTGCCATATTTCCACCCTCTGTCATGTCGCTTCACGGGCCCTGCACCGCCTGAAACTCTTCTCTGTGTCTCTACGCTCTTCTCATTAGAGCAGAGGGCCAGACTTGGTTGTGTTGTCTCTGAGTTCTTGGGAAGTGCAGCCCCTGCCTTGCCGAAGACCCAGGTCACACTTGCTGACCACAGGAGGAGCGCAGGCTGCTTCACCGCTAACAACACTGTCACATGGGTGCTCGCCGAGGTGGTATTGGAGGGAAACCCATCCCTTTCTAAACCTTTGTGCTTCTCCATTCATTTTCAAAGCTGGTTTGCTCAGGATTAGTGTACACAGTAAACCTAGCCTCTGACTGTGGAGATAAAAGACCTTTTTAGATTTTTTTTTGTGCTTAAATATTAGAGACAGCATATTTCTACATACCTTGTTTGCTTTTAGGAGCCCAGGAGAATTTGGACATCTAGTGGGTTTGTGATACTGATGCCCATAGGAGATGATTTGGGGGAGGTGACACCAGGTGTGGGGACCAGAGGGCATCAGGTGCCATCGACCTGGTTCATTTTCAGATAAAGATTCCCCTGGCCTAGGGCTCACTCACTGGGCTAGGCTAGCCAGCCAGCAAGACCCTTCCCCCGTGTAGGGATTACAAGTGCATATGGTTGTACCCAGCATTGGCTTTGGATCTCTAACTTGACATGTGGTCAGATGACCCTACAATACTGAGGCCTACAGTGGAAAAACTACCTGGGAAGACCACACAATTGTTTATTGTCGTTGTCATCATCATCATCATCATCACTTCTTTTCCGCCTTTTTCCTTCCTTCCTTCATTCTTCCCTCCTTTGATTTTGTTCCTCCCTCCCTCCCTTCCTCCCTCCCTCCCTCCCTCCCACACTTCCATTTTTTAAATGGGAAAAGAGAACCCACAACATCTACTGCAGGCTTAAGGCATGAGTTTTAGCTTGTCCAGAGAGAAATCAAGTGTTAGACAGCTAGGGAGTCTGGGGAGTGATTTTAATATGTTTGTAGAAAGGTAAACAGAGAGGTGTTGGGGACCTCAAAACTTATTAACTCTGAGGAAAACAATTTTTTACTTTAAAAAAAGGGCAATGCAATCTTAGTGTTCAGCACAGCTCAGTGGTGACAGGTGTAGCCACCTAAACAAGGCGTAGAGTCAGGCCTATGCATGTGAAGGTTAAGATTGATGGAGCAGCGTGCAAGGGAGCTGAAGTCTTGTAGGGAGGGCCTTAGAGGAATAGCTACTCTCTTCTTGCCTTGAAGGAGGTCATAGGTCAGCCTGTAAGCATAGAAGCAGGAGGGAGAGAGATGAATCTCAGAAGACTCCAAAGTAAAAAAAAAATTATGGCTGGGTAGGCAGGGGTTGCTAGCTTTCCTAATAAGTAGAAAGGTTTGAGGTTTTCAAACTCTGTGCATGTATAACTTTAATCAAAATAAGAGCATATTTGACAGCGTGCCCAGTGCATCTTCCAGAGATCCAGGCATTCTAGAAAGGTTTTTTTCCCCCAGCTCATCTCATAATGCAGCCTACCTTCCTGGAAACGACTACCCTCTTGGCCTGATTGTAGGTTCTTGTGAGGAAATGGAGGAGAGGGTAAGGGGGGACAAGGGGGAGCCGGTGTGAGGGGCTATTATGTGTCTTCCTTTCTCACATAGAGACAACTGCCACAGCAAGTTACAGCATCCCGGGTACCCACCTCACTCCCTGATGCCAGGCAGGTACTCTGGTAGAGACCACGACGTGTCATCACCAAGGGCTTCTCACCTGTGGTCTAGCAAGTTCTCTACTCTTGCTACCTGGCTCCAGGACTAGGGGACTCTAAGTGATCTAAAATGAATACAAAGAAGCCTAGATGGAGGATGACTCTCTGTGTTGAGAATAGACACCATGGTGATGAACACTATTTGCAATGTATAAGGTTATGGAGTCATCAACTTGGCAGCTTAGTTTTACCATTCCCTTCCTTGGAAGAGGTGAAGACAATGCATTTGGCTGAGTGTGAATTGGAGGTAACCAGAGTCTATCACACACAGTGTGAGCTGAGGCTCATTGTGGGGACTCGGACAGCCTCCTAGTCACTTCATGATTCTACATATATATACACATTCCCTCTTTCAGGTCTAAGTCTGCAAAGAGAGCCATCCTGTACCAACACAGACTTGCCTGCTGGTCATGGGAACAAAGAACAGGAAGGTGACTGCCGGCAGACTTCAGAACCCATCTCCCCTCCCACAAGCTCAAAACTCATCTTGGAAAGAGACAATTCGACTCTGAAGGTAGGAACCACCATTCTGAGGCACTGATATCTGCCTGTCATCTAGACTTATGCCTTTATGTCCATATCGCTGTCTGTGTGGTATCATTCCCTGGTCTCCTTCTGGGGCTCCCCAGAACCTAAAACCAGACAAAAAGAAAATCCCAAACATTCTACACCAAAAAATAAGCCAACTTTGGAGTTAGGAAGATGGCTCTGTAAATAAAACACTTGCTGTTCAAGTGTGAGGACTTGAGTTCAAATCCCCAGTGCCCACATCAAAGCTGGATGCGTATCTTGAGGGTCTGTAACCTCAGCCCTCCTCTGGGAAGATGGGAGGTGAAAACAGGAAAACCCCTAAAAGTTCTTGGGCCAGCTAGCCTGGCGTATGCAGTGAAAAACAACCTGTTGTGAGCCAGGCAGAAGGTTGACCTACACCAGAGGCTATCCTGACTTTCATACATCACACATAGAATTGGTCGACTTTGGCTACGAAACTGTTGGTTTGTTTTCTTGAAAGCCTCAAGTCTGCATGACTAATGCCCCCTAGAAGAAAGATGCTAGCATATGTTGGGCGTTACCACAGCGTGAAAGCACCCTAGTTGGACCAGGAGACAGGAAGTGTGGGACCAGATGGATAATGGAATTGTTTGGCTTTACACAGAGACCTATGTTGCATCAATCAGGAGCTCGGCTGAGGGTAATGCGTGGATGAGTTATTAATGGGAACTCATTGAGGGCATCACATTGAGGTTCACGCTCAGGGAGGAGTCGCTGGGACCTCGAGACCTTGCTTTCCATTGTGGGCCGTGTTTCCAACCACAGTTTTCTTTACGCCAATTAACCTTTCCCCCTGTTTCTTTTTCTTTGCACTTTGCTGTAGGAGGTTTCTCCACCTGCTGGTGAGCGTAATGACTGTTTCCCAGAGAAGGAGCATGCCAGCGGGTCAGGGCTCTCTCTGCAATCCAGTGCACGCTTGGCCGTGTTTCAGGAAGGTCCTCCACTCCAGGGCAAGTGTTTTGATGTTGGACCGCCAGGGACACTGCCACCGCCTTCCCGGAGTCCGGTCTCCACAGTTCCCAACCTGCGCACCTCCCCAGATGTCCCAGAGCCACCTCCGTCCTTTAGGCCCAAAGGAACATTTCCCCACCAAGACATTGCTACCTCTGTGGCTGCCATCTGTGTCTCCGTGGGGACGCGAACGGGGCTCAGAACACTGGGGGTTCACAGGGCAGAGGAGACTCGGGCACAGAGCTCCCCAGATGGAAGAGCTGTCCCAGAAGGCGTAGCGCAGGCGCTTCTGCCAGGGAGATCTTCACCTGGAAGGAACCACTTAGAAATATTGCAGCCAGGCCCAAGTTCAACTAGTTCACACCAGCTGGAAGTGAGATCCCAGACAGATTGTCCTTCCGGGGGCCAATACGGACCTGGGGATGTGGCCATCCAGCGTGCCGCTTCAGGAAGTGAGAGCAGGGCATGCCACAGTGAAGGATCAGTTACCCCCAAGAGTGCCGTGGCTCCTTCTGACCAAGGACAGCCCTTAGAAGTCTCTGGAGGCCCCTTGAGGTCCATCCGAAAGAGGAGCTTGGAAGGAATGAGAAAGCAGGCTGGGGTGGAGTTCAGTGACACCAGCAGCGACGATGAAGACAGGCTGGTCATAGAGGTGTGATATGCTTCCAGAGAAAGATGGTGGCGATGGTCAAGGACCGGGGACCCTCTGGGATAACACCACTACGTGTAATGGGCACTGAACTCTCTAAAAATATCCATACACCAAGGACTGGGGATCTTCTGGGGGGTAGCATCACCAAAAGGGCAATGAACTCTATAAAACATCCACAGATGATGAAAGCCATCCAAGACTCCTTCAAGCCAGCTCTAACCAACGCCACGCCCAGATCCAGCCATACCTTTCCTTAGCTTCTTTCAGACAGGCTTTGGGCTCTCCCACATTCACCTGGAAGAGTCAAGGTGGCCAGAGGCCCAGCCTCAAGAGGCTCAGCGCACACAGCTCCAACTTGGTGCAGCAGTTAAGTACTGCCTCGTCTGGTAAAACGACGCTAACCGGAAGAGCCATATGTGACGTTGTTCTTGACCCGTGAGGTCCCACTGGGTCAAGCACCTGACATTTCCGTCACTACGTGAAGAGTGCCAGGCACACCCGGGGTCACCAGGGTGGTTAGAGGGAAGAAGGATGGGGTAGGAACTGGGCAAACTTTGGAGACAAAATCCAGATGCATTAAAAAAACTGGTCAGGGCCAACCATCCCAAATGGACAGTGTAAATACACATCACAATGCCTAAGGCCCTTTATATCTTGCACAATTGTCAATACTTATTTTTGGTCCAATAACACAAGCATGTCTGGCCCTTGTACCTGGTGCCTTTTCTGTGGAAGATCCCCCCATCATCGCACCCCCCAAAAGCCTCGTGGTTTTTGTTTCTTCTTTTTTTAGATCTTGCAAAGGAACATTGCATTAAGTCAGTAAGATAGTCACAGTAGTGAGTCATTTTTTTTTAAAAGGGGGGAAATTCACTTATTTTTCCTCTGATTATTTTTGTCATATTGGGCTCTGAGCAATTTCAATTAGAGGGTTACATTTTAGTAATCTGCACAGCTTGAACTGGTGCCTTTCCCTCATGATGGCGTCTTTCAGGCTTGCTCTAGAAGCTTCCAGGACGTAGGACTAATTGGAGTTTTGACGCTATTTTACATCTTGATAATTTTATTTTGGGGACTTGGAGTTATTTCGCTGTCAAATTAAATCAGCCTTTGTATTGCGCATTTCAGAACAGCACAGATCAAATCCCCCACGATTGCAAGCTGGTGCACCTCTGTGCAGAGGCAAAGAGACATGTGTCAGTCAGCCCTCTACACAGGCCCCAGGTTCCCAGACTCCCTCTCCTAACCCTTAACCGGGCGAGGGAAACTTCAAGAAGTTTACACTGCTCATTCCTCTACTATTTTCTACTTACCTTGGTATGATTTTGTACAATTTGTGATTTCTAGACGCACTTTTGGCTTTACTCCGAGGTAATGATGCTCACGTGTCATCTTGTGCTCCCGGGCAAGGCAGCCATGAGACCTCCCACTCGTGAACAGTTTCCTAAGTCCTGACCCGAGAGGAAATGTGGTCCGACTTCAAGCAGCATTTTCTGTAACTTTCCCAGCGTTGCTGTTGCTCGCAGGGAACTTCAATGCGATGGCAGGAGGAGCTTCCTCTCAGTAGGCACCCAAGTCTGTGACCATCACACGTGCGTTCAGAGATAGCTCACTGACGGCAAACCCAGCCAACGGGAGTCGAAAAGACTAGACATCGCCTCTGTAGGCTTCCTAAAGCAAGTGGCAATGCTGTGGTGATTGGCCACCCTTCGGATGGCCCGTGCCTCAGAAGGACAGTGGAGGGAGCTGACGGAGCCCCGTGGAAGAGAGGCATGGGTGGGTCTTTGGCTTGGAGACCTCAGTGATGGCTGCCTCTGTGCAAGCTTCCCTGGGCGAGAGTGAGGTCTGGACAGAGGAGCTAACTGTGCTGTGGGGCTGAACCCTGGTGGGAGGAGCTGACAGAGGGACCCTGGCGCCCTTTACATCTGTGTCTTCAAAGCTTGGCAATGTCCCCACGGAAGCCACTGCCCCAGAGTTGCCATTTTGGGGGAACTTTTAGGAACACAAATACTGTTAGGACACTACTGCTATGTAGTTATGTGGGCTGAGGGGATGTTGATGTAAGCCCACGCCACCTCCCCCCAGCACCAGAATTCCTGATCTCAGTGTGCGATCACCTACCTTATAAATCAGAATTCATAAAACAAAGACCATAAAAGTGAGTGGAACAGAACATGCATGTAGGTGGGTCTGGCTCCTTTGTCGTGGGAAGTACAGGGCAAGGGAAGAAAAATTACCTTTTAGATCAGTGGTTCTCAACCTGGGGGTGGGGGGTGGGTCAAGGCCCCCTGGGGGGGGTCAGACAACCCTTTCACAGGGGTCACCTAAGGCCATCAGAAAGCACAGATATTTGCATTATGATTCATAACAGTAGCAAAATTAAAGTTATGAAGTAGTAACGAAAATAATTTTATGGCTGGGAGGCCACCACAATGTGAGGGACTGTATTAAAGGCCACGCTATTAGGAAGGCTGGGGACCGCTATTCCAGATTCCCATTTCCAAGTGGCTACTGAAATCCAAGAGGGTCACAGGCCCATGTCATAATCACAGCCCTAAAAAGCACACCATGTCACACGTCACAGTGGGATCTCTGCCTCTTCTGGGCCACCACAGCCAGTTGCCACCCCCAAGCCTGTGTCCCGACATTGTGAGATATTGACTCCATCCTTTTAAACCCCTGTGTCTGTTACCAAGACAGGAAGCTTGCCAGAACCACTGCTTCGCCTGGTCATTTAGTGAATGTCAGTCTTTCCAGGACTCCTTTGCTTTAATTCCACATGAATTTTTGAACCTTGTATTGCAATAGATTTAAAAAATTCAGTTATTTTGAATGACCTTGGGAGGAGCTAGCTGCTGAAAAGCATCCTAAAGTAAGGTGTTGTTTGGTTTGGTTTGGTTTTAATAGGGCGTCCTTTTTAGAATATATATATATATATACATATATATAATATAACAAACTGTCACTGGTTTTTATAAATCTAATTTTCTTAAGGCAAAATACGACCATAAGAAAATTGTAACAAAATGTTTACCCATAAAACCCAAAACTCAAAATCCTGGTATTACCAACTGACCATTGCTGCAGTTTGGCAAAACCACGAGTGCGGATCACATGTCAGTTCAGGAGAACACATCTGTTTTCAGTCTGAGGATGTAGCTCAGTGGTAGAGTGCCTGTCTGGCACGCTTGAAGCCCTGGGTTCAATTCCCAGCACCACACATGCAGAAATGTTTCACCGCAATGCCAGTACTGCTCCTTCTACACACCTTCATGTAGGAGATTTAGTTCCTGCAAGTGTATTGGCTCCAGGGGCCTGGACTGTGTGAGAGAGGGGTTCACATTCTTTGCCACAGCTCATGGCGCCTGCCACCGGCCGTTAACCGTCCTTACCTGCGGTGCCTGGCCACATCTTGAGATGCACAGAGGAATGAGATCTTACCTCTCCACTTGGCCGACTCTTAAAGGTTTGTGAGTTTGGTGACCAGCCTGGCCCTCCTTGCTGTCAAGGTGCCGTGGGAACAGCTCTCCCTTCCCGTGTCAAGTCCAAGCTTGGCATTTCGGAGGAAGCTAAGACCCGAGACCTAAGGCTCACACCTCACAGTAACCAGGACAATCTGTGGTTTGTTTTCAGAGTGGAGGGGGAGCAGAGAGAAAGAGGAGAGAGAAGGGGAAGGAAGGAGAGAGAGGGGGGGACAGAGAGAGCGGGATGGGAAAGAGGGAAGGAGACAGGGATGAGAGAGACAGAGACAGAGAGGCAGACACACACACACACACACACACACACACACACACACAGAGAGAGAGAGAGAGAGAGAGTTCTGAATTTTAATGAAAGCATGGCCAACAACTTAGTGGGTAACTTAGGACCAATGGGGAACTTCGCTCTCCTAAATGCTGTCTTCTAAAGTTTGGGTCTGAAGGAAGCTTTGCTTTGCTGCAGTGCAGCGCGACTATCGTCCTGGGCATGAAAGATAAACGATTCCCAGTCTCATGCCAAAAAGTATTTCCTTGCACTCACATCCATTACTTAGAATGATAGCATCATTCATTTTTCCCCCAGCATAGAAATTTGCATTTTTGCACAAAATTTTGCCTGGTACAGCAGATTTTTATAGTTACGGGAATGTGCGGCTGCTCAGCTCCCTGGATGTCATTTAATGGGTGGGAGGGAAAATGGCCCACCTGGCTCTGGGGTGATCAGATTCCTACAGCTGCGACAAGAGGGGCCTGCGTGGTGTTTTTCTTTACCCCAGTTGTTAGGTCTCAGCTCAGGAAGTGGGGGCTTGTGAGACACTACATTTGTCTGTCTCTTCTAAAACTCATTAAATATAGACATCAGGATCTAGAACAACCTTGAGTGCTAAATTTCAAACCTCGTGTGTGTCTTCTCCATACTTTGCACCGACGCAGTAATGTTCATAATTTGTTCAGAGGGGATGTACAAAGATGTGAGAGTATTGCATCACCATGGGGAGAAGGAAGGAGCCAGGAAAAGTCAGTCCTGGCCACTGGGAGCACTAGAGAGTGAGTCACTTGCTTACACAGGCAGACAGCTCTGTTGGGGCTCTGTTGGGGCTCACTGCTCTCTCTATCCTTTGTTCATGGTGGGGAAGCGCTTGGCTTCTTGTTGATGAATGTTCCCCCTTCTTTATATAGTTAAATTATTTTGTTTTGATAAAAATAAAACCTAAAAATGAAAATGTCTTGCGTGATTTATTGATTTTTTAACCCAAACCACCCACCATAGACAATAAATTCCTTCAAGGCTTAATTCCTGATTATTCCCAACCCATTAACCGGACACTCTGCCTGCCATATTGGAATTCCATTCCGGTCCACGAAAGGATGAGATAATAGCAAATTACCCTATTTTCTTGGGCTGTTACTTGCCCCCATGTGCCTCATTTGTCATATGACCTGCCTTAATTTATAGTTTTTATCTCAGAAATGCTTTTAAAAATTCTTAAATGTAGCTAAACTTTGAAATCACACGAGAGTACTATCCACAGCGTAATAATCCAAAATTTTCCCCCTTGGAATTGATGTTTCTTGGAAGCTTAATGTTATTCATCAACAAAGAAAACATTTGTACATCAATATCATACCTCTTTATGAAGATAGCGTATGTGCTCATTGCAAGAATGTTTTCCAACCCAGCATAATGTTACCCCTCTGCACATACAGCTTTGTGAAGTCAATGGGTCTGATGTTTTGGGAGACACAGTATGAGTGGGGGGCTTGGAACACGCGTACTAGCTGGTGGCTCTTAGCTGGTTATTTCCTAACTCCTCAAACTCTGGTTGTAAGAAATTAGTCCATCAGTTTTCAAACTTCAGCCATTTGAAAACCCTTTCAATGTTTTTTTTTCGTAGTATTTCAATACAACATTCATGGGTATATTGTTTTCTTAATCTTTTTACTAAAAAGTCTCTGCTATACAGGGGAGATTATTGCTCTAAGTAACAGTGTCTGTGAGATATCGTGTGTAGTGTAATAGTGTTCTAATAGACATTTAAACACAAAAATCATTAAAATCTTTCATCCATGAGCCACTTAAATATCATCTTTATGCCACCACTGGTGTGTTTTTGCACTTGGGGGAACACGGAGATAGTCCTAAAAGGTATAGTTGAAGTTAAAGTCTCCAACTATTCTACCAAGCTTATCTACCAAGTGTAGTGTCTGCTCTCACCTTTTTATTGTTCTTCAAGTCACTGAAACTGGTGACCTTGTGCAGAACTGGAAATACACAGCTGAGTT